TCTGTGGAAGAAAAAAACCATGAAGGCAAGGCAAGGGCCCATCTTATTGTATAGTGTTGCTCTATCATCAGAGGTGAAGGTGCTTTTGTGGCATCCAGAAGGCTTTTGAGCCTTGGGGGAAGAGTTGGGGGTGGGGTCTCCAGGTCTGCCTTGGAGGTCTGCTGAGAGCAACAGAGCTGTCGCCCAGAGCCCTCGGGTCACAGGCCAGGCTCGTGGCAGAGAATGAAAGAAATGGCCCGTAGAGCAGAGGAGGGACTGCGTGCTGTTCTCCGCCACTCAGGCTCCTCCTTTTCACTCCCGTCTCCCACATCCGAGCATCACCTTGGAAGCCACACAGCGTCCCGTGCCAAGCCTTCTTCCACTGGCCCGACCACTTCCTCCCCCGACACGGGACAGGCTCAGGCCTTGAAACCTGCTCCTGCCCAGAAGGCAAGGACTTTCCGTGTTGCTGGGAAGGGTCATCACCTCACACCTTATGAAAGCAACAGAAGCTCTACATTCACCGGAAATAGACCAGCAGGCGCGTGCCAGTTCTTGAGAGCAGGAGGGGATGGCTGGAGAGGTCAGCTGTGTTTCTTACTGAATGCTGGCTCAAGCCTGGAAAGTCACTTAGAGCAGTGGAGGAGACCTCTGCTGGTCCTGGGGCAGCGTGGGTCTGGGTCGGTGCATGAAGCCCACAGACCACCAAACCTCTTGGTGTCTCTGCAGTGTAAGGGATGAATCTCTCCATTGCCCACTCAGGGAGAACTCGCCTCAGTTTTCTTTCCTTGCCTTTATCTGTGTAGAAGGCAGTCGCGACCAATGAACACATAGAGTCAACATTGTGATGATGTACTTTCACAGAGTTAAATATGCACAAAATACTGAAAATGAATTAGAATGCTTTAAAAGTCTTTAAACAATTTATACCTCTAGTATTAGAAATAAGACACTGTGGAAATAAACAGCATAGAAATTTGTAAAAAACAGTGTTGACAATTTAAAATAGCAGGATAGCCAGTGTGGTGGCACATGGCTATGATCCCACAATCTGGGAGGTTGAGACAGGAGGGTTGCAAATTTAAGCACAGCCTGGGCAACAGCAAAATCCTGTCTCAAAAGCAATAAAAAGGGAACAAAGGGGATACAGTTCAATGTGGAGGTCTTGGCTTCACTCCCAGAACTGCAAAATAAATAAAGTAAAATAAAATCATGGGGCAAAAAGCTACAAAGAACTTGAAATACTGTCCCAGGCAGAGAGTCTCTGTGATCCGGGGCCTGACTCCCAATCACAGAGAAGGTTGTGGAAGAATCAGAGCGATCGAAAGTGTAGAAGCAAGGTTTATACTTTAACACAGCAAGCGTCCAAGAGTACAGCTGCCTTCCCTCAGAGAGTCAGGCAGGGTCCCCGAAGCAGAGCCACCTACCATGAGGTGGGCTCAAGGTGTTACTTTACAGCTGTCAGGGGCTTCTCCTGTCTCTGGGCTGAGGGAGCCCCTACTCAACTGGTTCATTGCTAGGGAGGACGGGGAAGGATCTTTGGGGATTTTCCACATTCTAGAGTTAGATTTTTTTTTTCTTTAACTTCTGCAAAATAAGCTTTGCAGGGTGCAGCGTATGGAGGAAGTGGGATGGAAGCTGTGAGCTCTTCGCAGGTGGTCAGGCCTGTTCAGCTGTCCCTTCAGAACCCGGGGGGGGGGGGTCCCCTCGTTTTCCCTACCTGTGTGTTGCTATCTCTACACTACTGTATATTTTAGGGATAGAGTGTAGAGATGAGAGCTGGCGAATTCTCCTCAGAGAGTAGGCTCACACTCTGGCTCTTCAATTTCTCCTTAGATTTGCATTTTCCTGTCAGATCCTTCCTGGTTCCTGGGATCTACTTTTTTCTTCCCCAAGTTATTTTCTGGATTCTGAATCCCAGAGGAGATTAGTTTTCGTCGCTCACCACTCCACCGTTTTCCTGGAAGTCTCCAGTTCACATTCACTTTCTACATTGCACTGCTCTCTTTGGAATTCTGTGACTCTACAGACGCTGGCATGAACATTCCCTGTCCACGTCTCCCACTTCTGTGCCAGGCTTCTGTGTTGTCTGGGATGCACAAACACCCATTCCCCGTGCACTACACACAAACCAGAAACATGGCCCCAGCAGCAACACATGTATGACAGCATACATGTCTTCTCAGGCCGCTACAATTATTTTGTGGGGTTTTTTTGGTACTGGGGATCGAACTCGGGTCCTTGCGCTTGCACAGCAGGCAGCGAAACCACTGAGCTAAATCTCCAGCCCTGCTATAATGTTTTGGAACCATTCGGTAAGTTTTCTGGCTTCAGGCAAATGCCACTTTAATTTGTTAAATGCTCCTGGAATTTCTTTGGCTGTAAGCAACACCATTGCAGACAAATGATGTGATTTTTTTTTGTACCAGGAATTGAACTCAGGACCTTGCGCTTACAGGCAGGTGCAATGCCATTGAGCTAAACCCCCGGCCCATGATCTGATTTGTAAACTTTAATTTTCAGCATTGCTCTATCATGTGGCCGCCAGACTCATCTGCACGTTCTGCCAAATGCATAGACCAAACTGGGAGGACAAAAGCTTTATCGGTGCCATGGTTTGGAGACGTGTCCTCCAAAGGCCCCGGCACTGTGGCCGTAGGGAGGCAGAACCCCTAAGAGGTGGGCCTAGTGGGAACAAGCTGGGCCACTGGGGGTGCCTCTAAAGGGGCATTGGGACCCCAGCCCCCTTTCTTTGCTTTCCAGACACCAAGAAGTGAGCAGATTTGTGCCCCATGTGCTGCTGCCATGGGGTGCTGCCTTGAGACAGTGCCCAAGGTGAAGCCAGTGACTGAAGCCCTGGAAACCAGGAGCCAAGGTAGAAGTCCCCCGTTTATTCTCAGGCAACTGTCACAGTGATGGAAAACTGCCAGCAGCAGCTGGTGCCTCCACAGCACCACAGCTCCACAGGCCAGGGGGCGCCTCTCCTGAGCGCGGATGCCGAGGCCCTTCAGAGGGTCCCCCATACCCAGCAGTGTGAGCCCCGTGGATTTGAGTTTAGCCACAAGGCCACAGTGACCTCCAACCCTGTGCCAGCCTGAGCCCCTCCTCTTCCTGCTTTGTGGTCTCCCCCGGAAGATGGGATCCAAAACTGGTGTTATTTGTTGAGACCAGTGGGACTACACATGCCAAGAGGTGACGCCAACTTTCCACTCACAGGTGAGGATTTCTGGGTAAGAGCAACTGAGCCGTTCGGCTTCCACAGGAAGGCCTTATGCTCCACCAAGAGGTACTTTTGATTTTCCCTCCTTTATCAGCTGTGACTCCCCCAAATGCTTTACAGCTGATTAGAAATTTTTGCCTTGGTTGCAGTCGCTCAGGTGCCTGGTCCACCCCAGATGGGCACCTCCTCCAAAGGGCCCTGGACAGCTTCATCTCCCAGTGCAGTCTGCGCGGAGTCCCTCTCCGATGGCTGGACACCTGGGCACGTGTGAACAGTTTTTTGGGGTCTATATAAAACAGGCTTCCCCTGACCCATATTAGGTCAGGCCATGTAACCCTTATGCTGGAGCCCCTTGGTTTTATCTGGCCTATTCACAATCCCTGTCAAGCACACAGAGCAGCTTGTTGTGCTAAAAACATAACCATGAGCGTAGCCAGCAGCCATGCTGGTGGGGAGCAACAGCAGGTCAGAGTTGCTGGGGCCTTGGGAGCTGCTGACTCCAGCTGCTGGATGAGGTCTAGGACTCAACAGTAGCTGCTGGCTGACCTAGGAAGCCACTGGGAGCTCCAGGCTCCATCTGCTAACAGTGGGGCTGGCTGTCACTGATGCTCAACATCTAGCTCCCAACACCAAGTGAGCTGCTCTTTGCCTATTTGTGATTTCTGTCCAAACTGGGCAAATGAACCCTCTGCTGCTAGACAACAGCTTGAACAAAAAGGGGAAAATGCCTCTGGTTATGTGGTTATAGGATGAGGGCTCAGTGCACTAGAAGAACCAAGGTTCAATGTAAACTCCCCCCTTGTGTTACGAGGGAGTCCTGGGCTTTCTCACCGGCATGTCCAGGTGCCGAACAGCAGGGGAGGGTGTAAGAGCCATCAGCAACTGCACACTGAAAATGGGGACACACTATCATAGCCCCACCAGTTCCGCAGTGTTAGGGCTCCAGCAGTTTCTGGCTCTGCGATATCCTGGCAGTCCTTTTCCTCCTTACCTAAAGCCCTGTGTACTCCAGGGTGTGCCTGTCCCCACCCACGGAAGCCCACATTCTCCTGCTGTTGTAGAGCTGTTTATCCCTTTCCTAACAATTTTGGCAAGGACACTAAGCCTTAAAAATCGAATGGCTTAGTGATAAATACACCCCCATGTTTATAGTGGAAGTTTGTAATAGCTAAAGCTTGGAAACAGCTCAACTGCACATCAACCGGAGACTGGATAAAGATGCGGGTTTTTTGTTTTTTATAAAATGGAGTACCACTCAGCCATAAGAATGAGATACTAGACATTTATAGCTAAATGGATGCACATTGACCCCATACCTTTAAGTGAAATAAACAGGACACACGTGTAAATATCGAAGAGTTTCTCTGGTGTGAGAAACTAAAAGTGTAAATAAGGATCAAAATGTATAATTGATAATGTGAAATAGGAAAAGGTCTAAAGGAGTAGGGGAAGTGGGAGGGGTAGGGGAAAGGAAAGGGAAAGGAAAAAAATGAAACAAAGTCTTTGTAAATAGAGAAGGGAGCACAGGGAATGGGGAAAAAATAAGAACCAAGATGCATCATGTACAGGTACAAGATCCCAATGATGACTGTAACTACTGTATACCTAAAATGTACCAATAAACTTAATGGAAAAAAAAAGCATCAAATGGCTTCCTCTAAGTTGTAACTGGCAGAGTTGGGATTTTTATGTAATCATAAGACGCCAGCTGAGGATTTAGCTCAGTGGTTCTGCTGCCTGCCTCGCAAGTGCAAGGTTCCGTTTGATCCCCAGTACCAAAAAAAAAAAGATACCAGACCCCATCTTTTAAAATGTTTTATTTTGATATATGTTGAAGGAGTTGAAAAGAACCCACCAGAATAGTATGTTAAATCTTAGCATTCTGGTGCATTTCCATCAAGTTTTAGAAAGAAAAGACAACAAACAAAAACAAGTGAAGCCTCTGCGAACCCACCCTGACCCCGCTGGCCTCTCCAGCCTCAGGGAGCAGAGCAGCAGCTTTCTCACTTCACTCCAGTGGACAACTTTACACTCTCATTTCCTATCATTTGAATCCACAGAAAATGTGGTGCAAAGCAGTACTTCTGTCTCCTGTATACCAAGAACACTCACATGCCAGACACTATTCTAAGCACCTCACATGCACCATTAACTACCCCACCCTATTACAGTGCAGGAAGACACCAGTCAGCAGGAGCGGGGCCCACGGGTACACAAGCTGGCCTTCAGGTAAAGGGCACTGTGTTCAGCTCCAGCAAATTTCTCTACTGAAAGCTGCAACCCTAATCCACTTCGGGAAGTCCCAAAACCCAAGACCGAGACAAAACACACCCGTTCACCTGTTCTGTTGATGGCATGCACATTTCTCCCAATCCTGCCTGAACAGTGCTCACGTGAGCAGACTTTTCTTTCCTCACATGGAGTTCACCGGGATGAATCCGGAGGGGACTGCACAGTGGAGTGAGTGCTCATGACTTCACAAGCCTTTGCACACTGCTTGGGACACAAAGCAGGGTGAATTCCAGTTGTTCCACACACTTAGCCAGCCAGTTGGGCTTTCAAGAATTCACTGACTTATGAGATTGTCTGCGTTGTTCTGCGTTGTCCTGCGTTGTCTCCTGCTTTCTTCTCTACAGTATCTTTGTCTGGTCTGACGATCTGTCCCCAAGGGTGGGGCTGACCACACTGCACAGGTGACAGCCACTCCACGCTGGGGCAGTCCTGGCCCATCTAGGCCTCCCCACCCCAACCTGTTCTCCAAGCAGCAGAGAGCAGGCAGGCCAGGAGGGAAACCTGCATGCCCTCCAGGGCAGCCTGGGGCACCTGGAGATCCATGGCTGAGATAAAACAGAAATGTCAACAGGAGTCCTGTAGCTCAAAGCCATCACAGCAGGCTTCCAACCAGCAGGCATGTGATGAGCAGTGGCGTCCAGTCAGCATTTCACTCGGGGGCCCCTTTGAAACACTGCATTCCAAACTTGGCTGAAATATCCAGATCTCAAGTCCTTTAGAGCAAACACTTTGGGCAAAAATCTCCACTACATGGCAAGTACCCAAGCCTGGCATCAGAGCACCTGGCCATGCTGCAGTGACGGGCATACCTAGAAAGCCGACACCACCTAGCAGAACAGGGTGCAGAGGAGAGGGCTGGGGAGGAGCTCTCAGGATGGGGCCATGGCCTGTGGGCAAAGGCGATGGAGAAGGCAGGACAGGACAGGGGCCAGAGGTGTGGAGGTGAAGTCAAAGCCAGCACTGCGCACACCAACATGTTCAGTGGTTACACCCAAGGGCAGGCTTTTATTGGTATTTCTGTAATAATGTCACTTACAGAACTAAGACGTACTGAGCAGACGACACCAGCACAATCCTACAGAATACTTCAGCATACAAGGATCTGTTGATTTTGACTTCATGTATTTTGTGTATTTTTAAATTGGACTGGAATATATAAAAATAAGAGTTCATTCTATAAAAATGCCCTAAAAGCACCTGTTGGAACTGGAACTTCATGAGGAAGCAGGTGGCACAGGGGTGGGGAGTGGAACTGGAAACAGGAAAAGGCTATTTCTGGCCAGAGCACCAGTTGACAGGGGAGCAGCAACTCTGTGAGGGCTCTGGGCCCAGAATCAATACCTCACTCCCCTCAGGGAGCCAGGCCAGTCACAGGCACACAGGAGGAAACCACTGCCAAGGTTCCCCGGCTCCCCAAGACCACTGGCTTGGGAAAGGGACAAGCCAGAACCCAGACCCGAAGACTCCGAGGGTCTCCTGACCTGGCCAGAAGCACACGGGACCCTGGCTGCTGCCCAACCATGTTCAGTGCCAACTTTGGACACCTTGCCAGTGAAGGGCCATTTGGTTCCACTGTAGACAGGCAAGAGGATGGCAGGGCCATCTAAGATGACAAAGTTGAAACCACAGCATTTCGCGGAGAGGAGATGCCTGCTCCAGCCGTCGGGTCGCACAGCCTTCATGCTCGCCTGTGCGTGGCAGTCCCACGAGGACAAGAGGACTCGGCACAGGGCACACTACCTCGCGCCCTTCCCAGGGGCCAGCTCCCAGCTCAGCAAAGCAGCCTGAGACCGCTCCACCGCTGACACCGCCCTGCACACCCGAGCCCCGAGTCTCCAGAATTCAGTGCTCACATGCACCTGAGAAGCATCAGTCCCCTGCGCCAGCGCCACCGAGGCAGACCTCGGTTTCTGCTTCAACACAAGCGGGCAGAGGCACAGCCCTACAGCAGCTGTTCCCATCCTCAGGCGAAGCCTACAGAGCAGTCAGGGCATAGCGCAGAGTGCCATGCAGGCGAGCTGGCCGCAGAGGGGACCGCAGGGACGTCTCCGCCTCACCGTCTCCTGAGGCCCCGTCTGCAGTAAGCCCACGCAGACCCCAGAAGGGCCCTGAAGCTTGCTGCCCTGAGGTGACCCACAGCACTAACGTGGCCTGGCCCACTCCACTCTACCCCGGGGCCTCCCTGCTGTGCCCTGGGATGCCAGCCAAGGCATCCTCTGCCCTGCTCTTCTGCCCGGAGCTCTCCCAGTGATCGTACCGCAAATCCCTACCTCCTCCCAGTGTTTGCTCCAATCTCCCCTCTATCCAGCCCCTCCCGGCAGCCGACTGAACATCAGCCCCCAGTCCAGCGCTCCTGCACTCTTCCCTACTCTGTCCCCAGCGCATGACCCAGGACACCACTCTCATGTTTATGTGAAGGCAGAGACAGCAGGACTTTCGCTGTACTGGCCCCTACAGGGCTCAACTCACACTGGTGCCCGACATGGGGCAGGTGGTCTGCTGCCCGTGTGGCCCTGGGGGGTGGAGATGGTGACAGGTCCTGGTGGAGCTCCATTCTGAGTAACCGAGGCCACCAGTCCGCTCCACTCTCCGCGCCCCCCCTGCAGAGACACCTCTATGCCTCAGCAGCAGCAGAGAGCCTGCTGTGACGCTGAGGCCCAGCCAGCGCTCCTCAGGAGACACTGGGGAAGACTGGCTCTTGACACGCTTGCTTTTAACAACAACAGCGTAGGCACCACCACAAGCCAAACCTAGAGAGAAACCGAGGCTCCACGAGCCCCTCGGCAACAGCTGCAGCCAGCAGGCCACACACGCGCTGTCCAATCCCAAAGGGCAGCGGTCTTGTCCTTAGCTGATAACGGAGACCTGGCCAAGGGAAGCCTGGGCTATCTGCAAGACTGCTCCTGGGGCCTGGGGCTCTACCTGGGCCCCAAAGAACATGTTGCTGCTGCTGCTGTTCCCAGTATTGCTTCCTGGCAGGTAGGCAGGGAACTCCCTGAGCTTTTATTCTCAGGATTCCCTGCCATCAGCTCCCTAAACAGAAAGGACTGGGCCCTTGTAATGGCAGGGGGCTCTTCAGCGGGGTGGTCAGGACCCTCACCCACCCCACTGTGAGTGGCAGGCCCCCGGCTACTCTCGAATATGGTTTTTCATGTGCCGAGCCAAATTTGAAGACCATCTGAAGGTCTTCCCACACACCCTGCACTTGAAGGGCCTCTCTCGAGTATGAAATCTCTTGTGGTTGATGAGCAGGGACCCCTTGCTAAAAGCTTTCCCACATATGCTACATCTGTGGCACTTATTCCCAGGGCGCGTGTCCTGGAGTCCCGTGAACACTGAGCGCTGGTCACAAGGTTCCTCAGCATCTTCTCGAGGCTTCTCTTCACTTGGTTTCAGTTCCTGGACACTCAGCCCTGTGTCCTGAAAGGATGACAACCCTGACGAGCTACATTCTGACTGCGTGACTCGGGGGTGTTTTCTCTGGTGGACGGAAAGCATGTGTCTCCCAAGGAACTCTTTCGCGGTCCACTGGTATTTGAAAGCTCTCTCTGACGTGTGGATTCTCTGATGATTAACAAGACGGTAATTTCGATCATAAGACTTCCCACACACATTGCATTTATAGCGCTTCTCTCCACTGTGGATTCCCTTATGATCTAAGAGACTCCTTTTACGTGTGAAGCTTTTCCCACATTCTTGGCACCAGAAAGGTTTCTGATCAGTGAGGGCTTTCCGTGACAGATGTGGAGGCGCATCCCTTTGATGGTCCTCGTGCTGTCGGTGCACGGAGTGCCTCCTCTGGTGCCGGTACAGATTGGAGCTCCACCTGAAGGCCTTTCCACACTCCCGGCACTTGTAAGGCTTCTCCCTGGTGTGAACTCTCTGGTGGATGAGGAGGAAGGAGTGATTGCGGAAGGCCTTGCCACACTGGCTACACTTGTGAGGCTCCTCTGGGGGGCGACTGCTCTGTGGAACTTGGAGCGCACTGTTCTGACTGAAGGACGGGCTGCCCTCCGGTTTTCTTTTAATGGCATGCTTTTTCTTGTGAACAGCGAAGGCTGACCTATAGGTGAACCTTTTCCCACATTCGCTACACTGGTACGGCGTCTCGCCTGTGTGGATTCTCTGGTGCTCGAGGAGGGTTTTCTTTTGAGTAAAAGTTTTCCCACACTGCTGACACAGAAAAGTGTTCTCCACGATAGGGGGCCCGGGCCCCTGCAGCTGATGGAAGTCCTTCTGGCTGTCATTGTCCTGACAGGGACCCGGTGCGCAGAACTCCTCCTCGTCCTGGTGCAGCCTCACGTGACGGGTGAAGTTGGACCTCCACCGGAAGGTCTTCCTGCAGCGGGCACATTTATAAGGTTTCTCCTGCGTGTGGATCCGCTGATGTTCAAGGACGTAGGACTTACAGTGGAAGGATTTCCTACACTGGCTGCAGTCAAAGGGCTTCTCCCCAGTCTGGTCTCTCAAATGAGGATCCAGCTCTGAGGCATAGGTGAGGGCTTCCTCACACTGATTCGACTCCACTTTCTGCTTGGTGTGGGTCTCCTGGTGCAGGCGGTAGGCTGACATACGCTGGAACGCTTTGTCACATGAACCACACTTGTACGGCTTCACTCCAGTGTGAATCTTCTCGTGCCGTATGCAGTTAGAGCTCCACCTGAAGGCTTTCTCACACACCCTGCACTTGAACGGCTTCTCCTGGCTGTGAAGTCTCTGGTGGTACTCGAGATGGGAGCTCCGTCTGAAGGTCCTCCCACAGTCCTGGCACCTGTATGACGTCCCCACTGGGAACAGACCTTGCTCATGGGGGTGAGCAGCACCGAGCCCGAAGCCCTTCCCACAGGCTTCCTTTTCGCTCCCTGCCAGCCCAGCATGAATCCTCTGATGGAGGCTGAAGCTCCCCACCGCATGTCTGTGCCCCTTTCCTCGTTTCTTATAGTCATAATGGTGCGAACTTTTCCTCAAGTGTCTGTCACGGCCTTGTATCCGGGATCGCTTTTTCCTGGAAACTCTCAAATACACAACATGTTTTAGGTCAGGAGTGTCACTTCTTCCTGATGCTTCCAATTCTGTCCCTGCTGTGGGACTGAAATCAGACTCTTCCTTCTTAAATCTCACATAGTGCTTCATTAGCCAGCTCTGCTGTTCCAAAGACTTTCTGGGCCCTGCCCCCTCTGGGACACTTGTCACAGGACACCTGGCTGCCACAGGATCTTCTATATCTGCATCTTCCACAGGTTCTTGCTTGAAGACCAATTTGTTCGTCTTCATCTGGACCTCACCTCCTGATAAAAATTAAACACCAGAGAATGTACTCTCTTCCCACACTTGGAACTGGAGAAAGCAAAAATGGCCACAAAACACCATGATCTGTAGTAAGGGTAGTAAGGCTCCTGGCAGACTGCCAATGCCTTTCCAAAGCAGTCAAAGCCAAGGCAAAACACCGAAGGGACTCTAGACAAAAGGGAAGGGGGAAATGATGGATACAGCAGCTAGAGGTGAGCAGGAAAATGCAAAGGGCTGTGAGGAGTAAACTAGCAAGAGAGGGGAGCCGCACTTAGGCACAGGAGCTCACAGAAGGGAGCTCCACGCCAAGAGCTGGGGCTCTGGGGAGCAGCTGGATGAAAGGACTGGAGACCGAGCCTAGTGCAGAAGGAAGTCAGAGAAAAGGAACAGGACAGGGTGTGCAAGGGGCCCGGGAAAAGCGGGCACAGGACTGAGGAGAATCCACAAGCAGAGAAGAGGACAGTGAAGCCTTCAGTGAGAGGGTCACCGGGGAAGGGACAGGCTCAGACACAAACAGCTGTCCTAGGCCAGCACACAGGGGAGAGGCCTGGGGCCAGAGCCCCTAGCAGCACTGCTAAAAGCCCTCCTCCTGGCCAGCGATGATGGAGCAGTCCCTGTGATTACTAGACAGAAGGGTGGGCGGAGGGAGGGCAGGGCCTGGCCAGCTCCTGGACTCACCTGTAGGGCCGGAACCTGGAAGCTGCTTAGTCTGAGCTGTCTGGACATCCAGGCCCCAGGGCTCCCTTGCTTCCAACCAAGAGATGAGGGCAGGTTTGGAGCAGGAGATCGCTGCAGAGAAGAGAAGGGGTGGGAGGCAGACAGGTCACACAGAACGTCTCTAGGATCTTCCGCCTTAGGTCCTGGTAGGGACAGGCCAGGAAGACAAGTGGAGGAAGGGAGGGCACAAGCCCAGACAGCCATTTCTAATAACCCTAAGCAGACCCAGAAAGCAGGGGCTGAGAAGTCACAGACACAAGGGCTGCTGGGGCTGCCAGCGCTGGGAGCCATGACTTTGCACTTGGTTAGGTCAGCCCACATTTTTGCAATGCCAACATTTTTTAAATGACCAGGAACTTGAGACACCTTTAATGTTTACAATGACCCAGCAAGGCGGGCATAATTATCTCCATTTTGCAGAAGGGAACAGTGTGGTGACAAATGCAGTGACCTTGTCAGTAGTTACTGAGCCAGAGTCAACAGAGTTTAGGCTGCCTTCCGTGCAGTTAACACCAAGAAGGCCGAAGCCAGGTGTCCATAGCCCGGGGTGTCGAGGACTCACCCAGAGAAGCCGCGTTCCCATAGTTCTCCAGCATCACATCCCTGTACAGGTTCCTCTGGGTCGAGTCCAGGCAGCCCCACTCATCCTGGGAGAAAGTCACCTCCACATCCTTGAAAGTCGCAGCCTCCTACAGAAACACGGGCGCTGGTCCCCACCTCCCGGGCGGCATGGGGGGGGGGGGCTCTAGGTGGACTGAGGGCAGATCCAGCCAAAGTGCAGGGCCATGGACAGAGGAGAGCTTGTGCTCAGGGAAGTGTGGTCTCGGGGATGGTGGCGGAGACGCCCAGGACAGGCGAGCTCAGACTCAGCAGGGCTGCAGGGCCCACCTGCGGCTTACCTGTGGCTCTGGCATCAGGGACCGTGTGGCTGTGGCCTGGTCTCCTGGGCTCCCCTCTCTCTGGGAAAGGGAAGGCACCAGGGCAGCAGGAGGATCTGAAGAGGAAGAGCGAGAGCCTTGAAAGAGCTGCTGGCCTGGACACCCCCAGAAGCCCACTCCGCCCCAGTCCTCGAGGACTCTGGGAAACTCCCCAGTGACAGCTAGGTCCTCGCGTCTCTTGGGGCCAAGGAGTGGGATGCACTGGAGGGGGCGTCAGCAGACACAGGTCACAGAAGGGTATGGAAGAACACTGAGCTGGGGACAGGGAGGCTCTCGTGAGGGAAGGACAGTGACAAGACGACACTCAGAGGTGGGAGGTGGCAGAAGGCCAGGGCCGTAGCTAGGCAGCGAGTACCGGGTGGCCCAGCCAGGCAGTCACGCACTCCTACTGCACAGGGAGGCTCCAGCTGGGGTCCCGGAGCAGAGCCGCTCCCGAGCGGGGACACAGGGGGCCAGGTCTGTGGAGGCTGCAGGGCCGCAGTGCCCATCCAGTGCACAGCCGGGCTCGGGTCAAGGCCGGGGTTCTGTGAGAAGAAAATGTGAGAAGACCCTGTGGGGCCCGACACTGAACTCAGAGAAGAGGCCACACTGCAGTCTACAGGGCAGAGGCCCAGGAGCAGCAGGCCAGCCCCGCCACCTCCAAGCAGAGGGCACAGTGCCAGGGGCAGCGCTCGGAGGCCTCCTAGCCTAGCCAGGGGGTCTGGGGTCCCCACTTCACCTAAGGATAAGCTGGGGAGTCACCAGTAGCTCCACAGTCAGTCTCCAGATGCCACAGTGGCCCTCCCTGCCACCTCTCGTCCCCTCCCCAGGCCCAGAACTGAGAAATGAAGAAGGGATCAGCTCCTGACAGACAGCAGAGACCCAGGCCTGCAGTAGCCACTGCCGAGCACTGCCCTAGGCAATGAAAGCACTGCGGCCTCACAGGCCCTGCATGAGCTCCCGACTGCACTCCAGAAGGAAGAGTAACACATGCAGTGGGTGGGGCTGACTCTGAGGTTGGCTGGGGAACCCTGGAAGAGTCTCAGGCACAAAAGAGCAGACAACACCCATCCAGGCTTTTGCCCTGGGACTTCAAAGGGCTGCAGTCTCCAAGGCAGTGCAGCCCCACCAAGACCTTATTCAACTGACACGACAAATCTTAGCCACGGGCCCAGAACTCCTGACCCGGCTGAGGGCTAAAGAGGAAGGACTGCTGCAGCCAAGCCCTCCAGAAGGCCAACCACAGAAGAGTGGGGGAACCAGGCAAACACCCAAGGACACGCTTTCTCAGACCCTGGTGTTTTAGGCTGTGGGGATCCTTTCAGAAGCCCGGGGTTCCCTTTGCACCTTAAAGCGCCTCTGTTCCTTTTGCAGAACTGGGGGTTTCCTCTTGGCCTCCACCACCTGCTCTCTAGCTGACTTACAACAGGGGAGGCCGCTCCTGCTCACTGACAATGTTTTCATGGACTTGGAAAACTTATTGCTAGCCCCAAATGTGCCAGATAGAACCAAGCCATTTGGGGGCTGCTGTGTATTTCACTGTATAAATGATTAGACCTTCTGAACAGCTCGTTGTTTTGGTGAAAAAAATGCTCTTTTAGTTTTTAAAAATACCCTCAATGCTGAACAATGTTCGTTTTTTTGTGCAGTCATGCTTTATACTGATTTATTACTATTTGCTGCTGGGAGGACATGTTCAGATACTTTACTCGACTGAACTTTTGGAAGAAATTTGGGGAGCCAGTACGTCAAAGCTCTTAAGAGCACCTTTCACTTACGCATGATTTACACAGGCATATTTTTACAAATACACATATTTTTACATAAATAAAACCTGAAGGAAGGCTGAAGAAAACAGTAAATAAATACTCTTTAATAAACAACTCGCAAGACAGTGGGCCAGCTTCCTGTGTGCCGCAGAAGGGGCAGGAGGAATGCAGAGAGTGGCCAGTGCTGCTCCGCGGCCAGGCCTGGGCCATCTGCTCTGCCCCAGCACCAGGGCCAGTACTGGCCACACACTGGGCACTCAAATGTTCCTGGGCAAATTCTCTCAGTCAGACCACCTCTGCATGTTCTCCTCGATAACCTGTGATTCTGGGAGGCACGGCAGCCTGGCCAGTGACCCTGAAGTCTCCCACCCTCCCAGCCAGGGTGGACCCCCACACAGGCACAGAGAGCCTGTGCTTCTGCAGCTCTGCCCTGAAGCCTGGACTGCTGCCCTAAGTGCCCCTCTGCCCGGTCAGACACAGGGAGAGGGCTCTGCACACTGCGGCCACTGTGACTTACGGACACTGCTGACCTGTGCTGGGGCTGGGGCTCCTCTGGGAAGGTCCATGGCTCAGGGCCCCCACAATGAGAAACGGAGGGCTCCCTGCAGCCCAAGCTGCAGGCGGCAGCACCCGCTGGGCACTGCCCTGCTCACACTTACCCTCTGCCGTGAGCCGCCCAGATCCCGCTGCAGCTCCTCCAGCACCACCACGGCCTCCTCGGCACTCTCAGGCTGGTACAGCTGCACCCAGGTCCGGAGCTCCCCTGGCAGGATGCTCAGGAACTGCTCCAGCACCAGCAGCTCCAGGATCTGGGCCTTCGAGAGAATATCCGGCCTCAGCCACCAGCGACAGAGCTCCCGGAGCCGGCCCAGCGTCTCCAGGGCACTGGAAGACTCGTGGTAGCGAAGCTGCCTGAAGAGCTGGCGGAAGAGCTCCTGGCCCGGGCGGTTGAGTGTCTGTGGCCTGGCGGTGTGCACCGAGGCACAGCCTTCATCCTCCTCTTCTTCCTCCTTCTTCACAGTTAGGAGGCGCCCTCGCTCCCTGGGAGCCTGGGCCTGCGCCGCAGGGACCCCGTACCACCGGCCTGGGGGCATCGCTCCTGCTCAGTCTACCTCGCTGTGTGCAAACCAGGTCTGTGCCGTTGCCAGAGCACTGCCGACTCCTCTGGGTATCTTCTCAGCACCACACTGTACACTGCCATCTGTGGGGACGCCACATGTCACTGGCGAGACACTGAAGTCACCAACATCCCTGTCCAGGAGGAGAAGGAAATGATGCCCATCACACAAGGTGCAGTCACACCCTGCTGTGATGCCCGGCCACCTCTGGATGGATCAGCCGGGCACGTGGTGGAGGAAGCACTCTCAGATGGACGGCTGGCACCGAGCGACCAGGGCTCCATGGAGGCGAGCTAGGAAAACATCAGGACACAGAAAAACTTGTATGCAGCTAAAACCACAAAACGCTGATGAAAAAAGTCCAAGGTCTAAATAAACAGACAGCCCAGATTCATGTACTGGAAGACTTGACTCAGTAAAGCTCCCAGTCCTCCCTAGGGTGACCTAGTGTCATGCAATTCCTACCCATCTCAGACTTTTTGGGGGACTGGAGGTGTGGCTCAGAAGTAGAGCAACTGTCCAGAGTGCCCAAGGCCCAGGATTTAATCCCTAGCACTGAAACAAAATTAAGAAAAAGACATTTTTAGGGCCGGGAAATTTAGCTCAGTGGTTCTGCCACCTGCCTTGCAAGCGGGAAGTCCCAAGTTCAATCCCCCGGTACAAAAAAAAAAAAAAAAGAAAGAAAGAAAAAGACATTTTTAGCAGATATAAAGATTATGCTACAATGTAGGTTGGAAAAGCAATCACAATAGCTAAAATAATTTTGAAAAAAAAAAATGGAAGGCATGAATCTACCTAATTTCAAGGCTTATAATACAGTCCAGCAATTACCACTAAGACTATATAGCTCAAAGAAATACTAAAAACTAGAAAGAGCCAGGGATTTAGCTCAGAGGCGCAGTGCCTGCCTCACAAGCGCAAGGTCCTGAGTTCAATCCCCAATACCCAAAAAAACCCCAAAAAGAGCCCTCACAAATCTGCTCATCAGACTTTTAAAATATCAAATGTGATTTACTAATACTGTAATACAATATTTTAAATTTTTAAGCAATTCAAAAATAAAATGAAATATTGATTGGGATCCCTGATTTTATTGTGGGCACCGATGGTTTAAAAATAATAATTTGAAAAAATGGAAATAAAGTCTTTGTAAATAGGGAAGGGTGGAGGG